ATAGTCTCCTGGAACCAGCAATCGAAGTAGGGTGTTACACAGGTAGGCACCTTGTCAACATTCACATCAAGCGCAGTGACACCGGGGATATCAAACCAACACAGAATCCAAAGAGAAATAACTGCGCAAAATTGACATGGAATATGCATCAAAATAAGAGAACTGAGCAAATCAAATAAAGTGGAATACCTTTTATCTAGGTTAAGAAGATCTAGTCTAAGTGTAAGTCGGTGTAATCGAACTGCGGTGTAGAAGAATGATGTATGCAACAACAGCATCAACAACAGGCTGTATGGTACACACATACCAACAGATATGTAAGAGACATTCTCAGTGATATATGTAAGCGAAACATTGGCTTGTGGGGCTCGAGTGACTGGTAAATACTCCTGGGTCCAACCAAAAGTGGAAGCCGAGACGTTAACTACGGTACTATTCACATAGTAATTAAAATACAGTAGGTACATACCACGAAAATGCTCGATTAGTTCCGAAACAACCGATCTTCACAATGTCTAACAGGAATGCAAATGGTACTTGCCACCGTACCTAGTCACACGATACCGAGTCCACGATGGGACTATAACTTTCTTTTATCAGGTCCGTTAACCCTTGGTACATTGGTTTGCTATACAGTGTGGGAAACGGAACGCGATGGGCTGGGCTCTTGGGGTGGCTTGACTCAGTCAAACAGTGGGGGTGGGAGGAACATGGAGGTGCGTACCCCTGGAGCGGGAGGATGATTCAAGTCCGAGGTGTGTGTGGGTGGGGTGGTCTGGACGGGTTGCACAGTGTAAGCGAACGGTCTCCACAGTGAGAGGTGAAGTGAAGTCATGGCAACATCGATATGAGTTCACATGGAGGATAATCGGTAAGCCGGCGCTCATCAATTGGGGCAGGCGTCTGCTTTGGTCATACAGACTGAGATCCCGACATGCGGTTTACTAATTACATAATGGTTGTCGGTTAGCATGTAACCATGGCCCCTAAACTGGGTGAGCAAATAGATGGTAGGAGTTAAGAATTAGATCATGTTATTCATCTTGTGGATTACATAATCCTTAGGTCGGGAGAGCAAGTAAACATGGGGCATAGTGTGGGAAACCAAATAGTTGGTGGGAATCCAGAGTTAGCTCGCGTCATCCACTTTGCGAATTGCGTGGTAACTTTACCGCTTAAAATATAGCCAAGCGAGATCCTGTAACAACCCACTAAACTTCTGCTTACCATTGAGCTGTCTTTGAGAGATGACCACGTTAAGTAATTCGCAGCACGCAGTACAAAAGAAGTGCAGTTGTTCACATTTGCACAACAAAGGGGCGGTGCATATCCCGTTGTTAACACGCATTCACCTGCGGCTGCGGAAGCAGCTGGTTTGCGCGCAAACGAACTTAGTGTGTTAGTAGCATTGGGCACAAATGGTTACACAGCCACTTGGGATTATTGACGATGGAGTCGCTGAAGCAAAGAAATTCAGCTGTTTCGTCAAGCACAGTAGTTCCATTGAGCACCGGCTACCAACTCCGTTCCCATGAAATATTACCGTCATAATGTGCAATCGACTGCCGCACATCCTCACATTACTGAAAGCCATTACCATCGATCGAGTACTGCACACGTTCTGCATACACAAACAGCTGACCGCAATCGAAACCGACTATGATAGCGCTAGTAGCAACAACTGATTGACGCTTGATCATCGACCGATCGCATATGACTTTGGCCGCATATTTCCGCCTGCTTAGAAGGCAGGAAATTGTCTATCGACATTCTTGTTTACAACTCACCACCGCTGAATTCATCAATTTTGGCGGTCCGGATTTGCAATTTATTTACCAACATATCAGATTTATAACGGGTGTATGGGTACATGTGCGAAATTTTATGAAGTGCCCCTTTGTTGCTTGGGTACTTTAGGGTCACAAGATACAACTTCTTATCACTGATTCGATTGGATTCCCACTGGGGTAACTGGTAACACTTTTCAATCCCTCGTCTGTTGGATTAAGAAAAGTCAAGCACTGTTGGTACCAACTCGCATCCATTTTTGACAGGCGGTACGTGGACTTTCATTGAATTAACTGAAACATCTAAAATGAGAAGAGAGGATAGTGGTGTTTTGTAGCCATGGTTGATGCAATTAGACCACTTTAATGCTACAGGTTCTTCAAATGACAGGCGCTTGATTTTCCTGGTATTGTTACTAGCAGGCTTTTAAAGAAACTTCGTTGAAAGTACTAGATGCAATGCACACCAACCGATAATACAGGACTTACCATTCACTGGCCATATTTGAAGCTGAGTGTCGTGAGATATTCTGGAGATAGTGCAAAATCTGTGACGACTGGAGGAAAGCAGCTTTACGGGTTTCAAAACCGAAGCTAATACATGCATATAGAAAGAGGGTTACTTTTTTCATGTAAAACAACAACTATCAACTAAGATACTTGTAACACACTGGGATTAGCGTGATGCAGTCGCACACGACATACTTAACTTGGTCGGGCTGGTAAGGCGTATATTTAAACTGAGGACGATCACGCTCTTACGGCCGACTCCTATTAGTAATACCTGCTCGTTTGTGATTCTGCACCTAGCAACTTCATAATCGTCATTTGCATCTAACCAAAAGCAATTAAACGGTCATCTCAACTGATGCTTTGTTACCATAAAGAGATGACGATGGTATATAGAATGAGCAATAATAAAGTGGGTAGAAGTGGACTTTGGTTATAACCTCTGTCCCTCGAACAAATATTCCGGGTTAATGTGCCCACAGTTCGACCATGAGAGGACAGCAAATGCGCCAATAAAATTAAAACGGTTTACGTGGGCTTCAGCGCAGAAGGGGTTGAGGACCAACAGCGCCCAGGTTAACCATTCATTAACTTTATCTCCCGCTGCTAAGTCGACCGGTGCACCCTCGGGCGCTGTACCGCTGTGCATCCGGAAACAAAGCTGGCTTAACCTCGTTGAGCACTGAGCGGGAGTATGTCACTCTGAATGAAGAACTACAGATTGCCCCGTTAATCACTTATCTGCGTTCACCCTGTTTGGAGTCAATTTGCAGTCCTCGGATTCTAGAACTGCTAGACAGACACCGTCGATCAAAAACTTAGAGGCAACAAACCGCATTCCTATATGGGCTAATGATCCTCACAATCACCCGTTATGCGAACATCGCTGCTAATACAGGTATCGATAAGTTAAATAGCCCAATATCTCTAGTTCCTCACTGTGCAGAAGGCATCAAATGGCTAGTGGTCCTACAGGAGGGCTTTGAACTCTGGCTGTGCAAAATCCACTTCAAAGTATGGGACAACTCCAGCGAGTTTATCCGCGGTAGATCGGGCCGCCTCAATATTGCCAAACAGCAGCAAACTATCGTCCGCTAATGCAGCCATACAAGTTTTCAACCAGGAGGCAGTTCAATGACCACTACTCGACATTCTACTACTGATCATACAATGATAGAAATGAAGCTAAATTTGAGCAAGGATGCGTAAACGGGGCAACACACATGAGGACCACACATTGTCTGAAAGACATTTGACGTCTCGCCGTAAAAAATGGAGTAAATTAGAGTATTTTTGTGGATGGACGGCAGATAATTTCTTCCATCTATAGGATCATTCCATGAGCGGTCAGCTAGAGCACGAGGAAGTGCCGATTTGTAAGAACCCGAGGGACAGGTGGAATCGTATATTATGCAAACATAGCTATTACAAAGTGCATCCGTTCCGATATACGAGACATCTACTTATCTTCGTCATGCTGGTTGGAAATGACTTAGCGTGCGTTTCTTTCTGTGTTTAGTAGTTGTGTGGAATGCATTGCTTATGCGTCCACTATTCGCGCGCATACAACTGCGGTTTTAACATGGTCATTTCCTTTGGGGGAGTCAGTACGGTTTGCTGTTGGCTGCGTTCCGTTTCGTATTCTTGCACCATATTACTGATAACTGGCGAACTAGTGTCTGTCTTTCGTCCACCACACTCCTCCCCCTCCAAAGTGCTCGCTCCAGCTGCCTTCGCTCGGAGTCTTTCTGACCGTCAAAGGAGGCTCAATGTGCGAAGGGTTTCTCCGCTAACTCGTGCCACCTCATCAACTCACTGTCATGAATCTCCTTGCCGAGCGATTGTATACACGGCCTCGCCGGTTGACCACCTCGTACGGTCCCTTCCACTTCGATAAGAGTTTCGTTCCCCTGGGTCACAAAAGAGAGCGTGCTGATGGTCCCTGTATTTCACTTTCGAACCGATCGGAAACTCGACACTTATCTCACCATTGTTGGTGTGGGACTTCTCCATCCTCTGCGCCTGAGTTGCTTTCATATTAGGGTTGGCTGCCATCCTGTTATCCTGTGCCCTTTCGGGAGATATTCGGCAAGTTGGCCACATTCCAACCTCTAGATCCACAGGTAGGCGAGGTGCACAACCTTACATCAGTTGGAATGGTGATTCCTTTTTGAATGCCTGTTTGGATGCTCGATGGGTCAGCAAAAACAGTCGCAAGGCTACCTCACAGTCTCCACGCTTTGCCGCTAGCCACTTTTTAATGGTTCTACTGTTACGCTCCGTCAAGCTATTTGTTTACAAGTGGTATGGGGTAGTCCGCACCTTCTTGATACCAAGTTTCTCCAGCAGTTCCGGAATTCATCACTCTCGAAGCACGGATCTTGATCTGTCAATATGATCTTTGGAATCTCGCTATCAAATGCTTCATGACGGCATGGGTAATGGTGGTTGCTCGTTGATCCGGGATTCCCGTTGCTTCAATCCAACGTGTGAAGTGCTCCGTCATCAACAAGAGGTATTGGTTGCCCCGCCTGGTCAATGGAAACGGCCCCATCAGGTCGACTAAAAATAGTTCATCAATTTCAGATACCGGAATCGACATTACTGGCTGGTGTACTCCTCGGCAATCGGTTTTCAAGAGTTGACATTGCTTGCACGAAAGCACGTGTCTCGGCGTCCCTCTTCATGCCCGGCCAATAGGCGCGTTGTCTTAGCAGATCGTAGGTCCTGGAACAACAGGTGTGTATACCATCTCGTGACAAGAAATCACCAGCCTCTGCCTTAGTTTCGTCGAAATAATTGGCAGTGAAGTGTTGCTACCTCCTGGTGTCCACATCCGGATCCCGGCTTCATTTACTTGCAGCTTTTCAAGATTTCTCGCAAACGGTTCGAGCTGCTTGTGTTGACTCTTGTTTAGGACTGATTGACCGGTTATTCGTGCAGTGAGCACTTTGCGCAAGAGTTTATCATTACGTTGCGCGGCTGCAAACTGTAACGGATCCTGCTCCAACAGCGTACCATTGACACCGAAAGAACCCTTCGGCAGGTCATCTTCGTTCATCATGCGTGGCAAAAAATCCGCAGTTTGATTCTCCTTCTCCGACACGTGGTTTATCGTGAAATCGTATTCCTGTAGGCAAAGCGCCTATCGTGATAGCTTTCCCCTGGGGTCGTTGGCAGACCTAATCTATTCCAAAGGCTTGTAGTCCGTGAAATCGCTGAGCTAACAGATATGGTCACCATTTGTCCAATACCCAGACGAGTGTGAGACACCTTCTCTATCGTTGAGTATTTGAGTGCTGCTGGTGTCAAAATCCTGCTGGCGCACTCAATCGTCCCGTGGCTGTTTCAAAATCGAGCCGAATACGACGTCGCTGGCATCCGTGGCCACCATGAATGTTTCTCTAGCAATGGGCAATTTCATGGTCAGCTCATGCCTTCCCATTTCCTGTAGAATGCAATCAAATTCTTGTTGGGCTCCAGCAGTCCAAGTGAATTTCTTATCCTGCTTCAGTAGCTCGTACAAGGGTGAGGGTAAATAGCAGAATTGTTTAACAAATTTGCTGTAGTACCCAGCACGGCACAGGAGCGTTCCGAAAGTGCGCTTTGAGGTAGAAACTGGGGTGCTTTTTATTGCCAATATTTTCTCAGGCAGCGGCTTCTGCTCACCTTGTCCCACTTTATGGCTAAATAAGGTGACACAAGTCTTTCCAATTTGGGACTTTGGTCCATTTATACTGAGTCCCGACTGCTTAACCCGTTCTAAGACTGCTTCTAGATGACCGCTGTGCTCCGCCTCTGATTGGCTATACACCACGATATCATCCCCGTACACCGCCACATTCTTCAAGCCACTCAATAAGCAAAGCAGTAAACGTCGGAAGGTAAACGTGCTCCCGATAATCCAAAAAGCATCCTTTTAAATTGTTATTGTTTTTTTACCAACAATAAAAGCCGTTTTTTATCGTTCTTCTCTTTTCATCGCCAGTTGCCAGTATCCAGCTCTCAGATTCAGCACTGTGAATATACTCGGCTGTTGCAATCTATCAAAAATGTCAGCAACTGATGGCACTGAAACGAAGCGACTCAAGGAGATTTCATTCAACCTTGGAAAATCCACAGAGAAACGGTATTTCCCATTCTTCTTCTTCTTCTTTACCAAAACCACTGGAGAATCGTATGGGATGTGCGCCACCTTAATCACATCCGCGTTCAGCATCTCCTGTACCTGCTTCTTCATTTCAGCCTCCCGATGGATTGTTATCCTTCGGCGTTAGCGGGATGGTGTGCTCGATCCAGTTGCACAATCCATACGGGCTGTCGTCATCCGTAAACAAAGGATGATACTTTGTAATCAGTGACTGCAAGGTCGGGCTCAAATGTAACGCTGAAACGGTCGATTGCGGATATCGCTTCCACAGAAAAATGAGTGCTAACGACCCGCATTCAGTCAACAATTTCTCACCTTTTAGATCGATGATAGCCTTATTGAACACCATGAAATCTGCCCCAATATGGTTGTTTACGCTTCTGGTGACGCGATAAAGTCGTGCGTTAGTTTCCGTCCTTCGATTCCCACGATGTGTTAGGCCATACCATCAATGGCCACTGAGTAAGCGCCAACAGCTCTCACGACCATGGAGCACATTTGAAGCTTTTCGCCCTGCCGATGGTTGATCAGTGACATCGCGGCACCCGTATCGATCAGACACCGTTCCGTCTACTTCCAACATTGCTTCGATCGAACCCTACTCAGCGTCCCTAGTACACATTCCTCGATCCGAGAAGCAAAACAAGGTTGAATGCGTTTATTTGTTATACAAGTAACACACCGCCTCACCGGACGCTGTCATTTCCAGTGTCGGTTTTTCGCGAAGGGAGCAACATCCTCTTGTGCGCTGCTGCGTTTGCTGCACGCGAAGTACATTAACGTCTTTTGGGAGCTGCTCCTTCATCCGTTCCAATTTTTCCATTCACTTCACGCACGCAGGCGGTTCCTCCTTCAACGCAGCGAGTGGTGCGTCGCCCAGCTCTCGAGTAACATGTGCCAACTCATCCAACCGCATACGCCAAGTAGCATCCGTAATCCAGACGTGTTCCGCCATTGGTTAGGGGAGACCGATTATGAACTGCTCCATTAGTAACCGCTGTTTTGACGGCTCCTCCTGTCCCAGCAAGGCTCGGTTTAACAAGCTCCTGACGCGGACTGAAAATACGAGGGAATCCGCCCCTACACCAAGCCGCTTCACCTGGAAACACCGCATCACTTCCTGGCGGTCGGCCGGTGTGCCCAATCCGGAGACCAACGCGACTCCCGCGTAAGCCCACTCCAAAATTGACGAGACACCTCCACGGCGCCTCCAAAACTGCCCTCACCCAGCCCCTGAGGAGACTCCGCAGAGCCAACCGCCTCCGCCACATCCTTGCAGTCTTCTAATAAGGTCCCCACATCCCCTTTGTCAAACGGTTCCTGGTAGGGGGCATTCGTAATGCGTCTTCTCTCCTTCCTTGGTGCCATGAGCAGCCACGGCGCGTTCTGAAAACCCCTGCCCGGAACCGTTTGACGAAGGGGATGTGAGGATCTTATTGGATGACTGCGAGGGTGTTGGAGGACTGCAAAGATGTGGTGGAGACGGTTCGAGTCAAGACCGACCTGGAGAAGTCGGCGGCATTGCGGAGTATCCTTAAGGGCTTGGCGAGCTCAGTTTTGGAGGCGCCACATCTTTGCAGCCCTCCAAGGTCCTTGTAGTCATCCAATAATGTCCTCACATCCCCCTCGTCAAACGGGTAGGCACTTTTCATAACGATGGGATGCTCATGGCGCCAATGAAGAAGACAAGATGCAGACAGAGCCGTTTACTATGCAAACATAGCTAAAACTAGGTATATCCGTTCCGACAAACGAGACATCTACTTATCTTCGTCATGCTGGTTGGAAATGGCTTAGCGTGCGTTTCTTTCTGTGTCTAGTAGTTGTGTGGGGTGCATGGCACATCCACTATTCGCGAGCATACGACTTTTGATTTAAAATGGTCATTTCCTATGGGGGAGTTAGTACGGCCTGCTGTTGGTTGGTTGCTGTTTCGCAACCTTAAACCTTGCTACCGATAAGTGGTGCAGTACTGTCTGCCTTTAGTCCACCACGGATTGAGTCCAACGCTCTCGTGAAATCGAGCGACTCAGCTAAAGACAATTTGCGAAACGTGTGACGATCCACATTTACAGCCGCGTTAAACACGGTTAGCACAGTCTCGAATTTTAATAAGCAACAGCATGTATTTTTCCCGCGAAGCAGAAAAGCCGTTCCTACGGGGAGACGATCGTCTATGCACTTGTCGCATACACACGAAAGCATGGATTTTGTTTGAACGTTTACAGCAAATCAGCGCCTTTGAATTCGAGGAGCAAGCCCGCAGGATAAAATCGTTTTTATTCCCGTTCAGTTTCCATGCTCTTGTTGTTACTAAGACAACACAAAGCCGAAAACTAGTAGATTCACGGGCAAAAGTACTAAAATGCCGGTTCGTAGTACAGCTGTCCAAGATCGAAAGCTAATCTGTATTTCAAAATGAGACGACCAGTTTCATTAACACTGTGTTTTGAAGGAAATTTTATCCCCGCACAAAAAACAGAATGTGGGTGCTCTGGCGTAGCATGACTCATTGACTCATCAACCGTACCAAACCTCGTGCTAGCAGAACAAACAGTTGGATGAGCATGTTATAGTTTGGTATCTGAATTACATAGGAAACCGTTTTTTTGTCCATATGCTGCAGCTGTTTCAGGATGAACCAAAGATTTAAAGTCTTACTATGAAGCTTGGTGAATGAGGCAATTTGCATCGCTCAGTTTTCCCGTGAACAACGACTCAAAAGCACTAGGACAAATCTAGCATTCACTTTATCATTTAGCTGTTTATATATAGGCATCGGAGTTAGAACCTCAGGAAAAAGCATACTGGAGAAAAGCGTCGCATATATTTGGGGAAACCAAACACCTGCGCTACAGGGAGTAACCTTGTTAAAACAAAATTCATAAGCGAGATAAACGCTAAACTGAATATTTTTCACAATTCACCCATGTGTTTCACACTGGTGTGCGTATGTTGATGGATCGGATCAGTATCATCTGAAGTAATACTTTGACCTGTGCTGCAAATATCATCGTAGCTGCGCATTGGTCTTCACGATTATCCTCCCGGTTCATTTGCTTTGACGGAGCTATTGTGCCGAAACGAAACGTTACTTGATAACGGTAACAACCGATTCTTTTCAACATCTGAAGGGATGATTTGGGCAGTTGTAGTGCAGTATAATGAGCGACCAGAATATCAAAGCTTAAATGTATTAGATGCTTGGGCGAATTTTGCGTTACGCGCGCCGCCTAATTAAAATCAGATGTTTGTTTAACTTGTTGGCCCCCATTAGTTTCTAAGACTCAGGTGTAGTTGGTGTTTAAAAAGAACTAGCGGCCGACGATTTATTTCGTCAGGTTTGGTAAAAACAGCTTTTCAGGTGGAAAGCAATTGTAGTAGGCCTGTCTTTTAATGATTACAATGACAAGTTGAGCGGAGTACTGCATGACAGAATAATGCCTGGCAAGTTTGATCAGTCTAAAAACGCACCGTTTAAGTGAACCCGTAAAATTGCAACAGTTAAGGTTATATTCGAGCAATATGCGTTATCAAAACTTATCAGATGGGTGGAAATTTAGGAATCTAGCCATGAAGTTGGCAAAAATGTGTGTTAGTGATGCGTGAAAAGCGTGGAAGTCTACTCAGGATGTGGTATACCAGGTTCGCGGTTTCCTTTTGAGCCTAAATTACATACAATTTCCGAGTCAAGTTAGTTAATAGAGGAAACAAATTGGTTCGTAAGCAATTTCTACTTGGTTCGTAGGCTTTTCCAACTTGGTTCGTAAGCATTTTCAAGTTGGTGCGTCTCAAAGTTTGGCTTAGGTGCACACGCGCACCGTCGAGTAGCTTCCTCATTGGTCAGACGCCATCGGCCAACAGGATGTCGTGTGTCACTATAGAGCAGGTGTTCTCAAACTTTCCGGCACGTGCACCCCTTTGTAGCATAACATGGCACGACGGACCTCTGAGCTTTTCTTATCCACAGAACTAAGCCTTAATAATATAAGAATAAGGTGCAGTTCATCGCTGTACACTGAATTTGCACAGCTGATCATTTATGTTAGCAAAAGTGAAGGCTGTTGAATTTACATGGAAAT